TCTCTAATCAATAATGTAAACACGGTGATAGAGGTTGCATCTGTGGATAGGCCAAGTATGGATCCTAAGGGACCTGAACTGTGACTACTAGGATCTATATTGAAGGAGATTCTGTTACTGTCAGAAACCTTTGTGTAAATCACCTCTTTCTATGTAATACATTTTCAATACATTTATGCTAAAACCTCCATTTGTCAGTAGTGATGATTCTCCACCAGCGCCCGCAGGATAATGACATTGTGGTGGAAATGCGGATGCTCATTCATTGTGATGATGTCACCTCATATGTGGGCCATTTAACCTTCCTTTAATGAAGCAAAGGAATTTCACAGTATATACGCAGGAGGAGAAGCAAGGGGTATAGCCACCACCAAGCTGAATAGTGATGGAAGAGGCCTGCAGTAAGGAATTGGAGCTCTTCATGTGTTACTAATATGGTGGCTGACCTTTTCAGAGATAGTAGCTGTGGGTAGAGGTCATTGTCAGCATCCCTATATACAAAAGACATACAAGAAGATATAGAAACTAGGGAAAAACTGGAACCAATGACATTGCACAGATAATAATGTTATGTCTAATAAAGTCATCAGAGCCCAGTTATCTCCATAGCTGGTCTTGCTACAGCAGAAAATCCTTAAAGTATAACTAAAAGCAAAACTTTGCTTTACTTTTGAATAGAATGGAGAAGGATTAGTCTTTTAGTGTTGTCTGTAGCCCCGTTAGGGAGATTCACCCTCTCTATTTGTCCCAGATTTTGGGTTATCAACAGCACAGAAACAGAGGGAAGATTTTTCAAAGGGGACACTAGTTCTGGACACCCTGGGGCTAACAAGGGATTGTACAATTTTGGATGGATTTCCTCTCATTTTTTTGTCTATGGGACAGGACGTGAAGGGAAATCTTCCCAATGGGACACAGATGGTAAAAAGACAAGGTTTACAACCTGTTCTTTATCGGGAATTTAAAAAAAAGGTTTGCCTTTAGTGCTTTTTTTATGAACTTTATGAGTCCCATTTCTTGTTAGTCTCTCCAATGAGAAAAGCTTTTATTGTTCAATAGCGTCCAGTAAGATTAATGTCTGCTCTGAAAAAGTATACTTAGGGAAAAGTCTTTGTTTTTTAATTCTGACTAATGACTGTTCACAATACATGTTTATATTAGAGAAAATCAGTTTAAAAGATAATATGTCAGCTTTTCTGTTTGCGACAACCTTTTCTTTTTTGATCAGTTTGGGTATTCCACACTGTACAAGTGTAGGCAATACATTGTTAGTAGGGTCAAAATTTCAAAATTCCATATGCTATTCTAAATATAACAAGGTGTTTGAATCCTTATTAATGGAGATGTCAAAACATCATCAGCAGATATTGAATCTCTGGGAAGAATTAACACCCACATTTGGTTGGGGAATCGAGACTCAAGTACGTCATTTATTTCCCCCTTGCCGACTCCAGATTGAGATTCTTTTTATCTGTTTTAATTTTGGAAGATATGTGTGACAGACTGCAGTTCAATGACAGCATAAATGTGTTAATATATGTAGTGAGGTATAGGAAGAATAAAAATAACCTCAGAGTGAAAATTGGACCACTTAATTAACACAGTGCTCTGAGAAGCATTTTCAGCCACATGTCTGCTTTTCTTTTCACACCTCCCAGCTAAAGAGAATTTAACTAGAAAGCTCCCACTGACTGGGTCCTGGTGTCTGCAATGTTATTTTTCAGGGCCGGGACAGGCCTACCTTCTGACCTCTGAATTGCAATTACTGACACTTGGCGGGATGTGCGGGAGCTTAGAAAGCCTTTCAATTCACAAGCATCTTTATAGTGGACCTATTGTCTATATTTAATAGCTTGTTGTAAAATACAATCGCAGTACGGTACCTCAGCAGTTAGAAATATTTTCTTGCCGTGTTGGGGTCTTGGATGTAACTACAACTAGGTCTCTACCTGCATGCTTTCCCTACACGACCCCTCCAAAAACAAGAGGATGTCACTTGAAAATCTGTTATTTATCTATAATGCATTAATGATATACTTTATGTGATGTCAGGAATTTACTGATGCAGATTTGTAAAGTTACTGATCGGTCTGCTATAAATAGACTTTTGGATTACTGGAAACAAATTGGGGTTGATTTACAAAACTTGAGAGTGCAAAATCTGGAGCAGCTCTGCATAGAAACCAATCAGCTTCCAGTTTTTTTAGTCAAAGCTTAATTGAACAAGCTGAAGTTAGAAGCTGATTGGCTATCATACCCAGCTGCATCAGATTTTGTACTTTCCGGTTTTAGAAAATCAACCCCATCGAGTATAGTCAGAACTGTTTATGTAGACAGAAGTTTGAGATGTAGCAGCAGAAACAATTATGACATCACTGATTCAGGCTAAGCTACCTTGGCAGTTTTCAGCCAGGCTAGAAACTGATTCTGAAAGTGGCTGGCCCACATAAAACAATTAAACTAAATGGTGTAAATCTCATGGCAGATCAAGCTGCAAGTTACTATGTATAATTGTAAAAAGTCAAAATCATACGCAGATCATCATGGTTCCCTCAGGTAGCAATAGTTTGCTTGATTTGTTCAACTGTTGTACATAGAGAAGCCGATGGTACACAGTTCTCCAACTGATCGGGCATCAGTTTTCAATCGTTCTGTAACGTAGCTAAGTACTGTTCCACTCGCAAGGCACTTAAAGAAGAACAGCAGTTGAAAAGGCAAGCAGAACCTAAAATGTGAAATCACTAAATAACTCCAGTTTATACTTTAATATCTTCGGTAAAGCAGCACGTCTTTTATAGGACCTTGCACCACTAAAAGTTTAGGGTCTCTAGGCATCCACTTTATTACCTTTATGCTAACAGACCTCATATAGAGAGAAATTGGAACTCCTATTGCAGCCTAGGAGCAGAGGTTTTTATTTTTTCTAATTCAGATCAATTGAGCTATGGCAAGTTTGAGAAGGAGTGGCCACATCCAAATTATTTTTTTTTTTACACAAATTGCCTTTCTGATACTACACTGTGGTTACGTACCTTTTACATTTAGAAAACTCATAGTAATCATTGCATGTGCCACGTCAGGCCCACTACTCATTTTACTCAAAGACATCTGTTATATGATGGAATCATATTCTATTGCTATTTAAAAAACAATTAAATGAAGCCTGTAAAGATAAGAACACTGTAAATACCCACCCATCATATTTACTGTGCTGCTGAACTACACTGTCATTAACAGATAAACTTGCTAAATAATCTTCAGCATCCACCACATTTCTGATTTTGTTGAATGTCTGGTACCCTGCTGTGCTCTGTGGTTCCTTCCACTCGCTCCTACCTCAATATAGTATTAGGCTTGGAACTGCATGCCTAGCATAAGTGGAGGGCCTGCATGACTGAGTTTGCTGTGCAAGCTGGAGGGCCTGCATGACTGAGTTTGCTGTGCAAGCTGGAGGGCCTGCATGACTGAGTTTGCTGTGCAAGCTGGAGGGCCTGCATGACTGAGTTTGCTGTGCAAGCTGGAGGGCCTGCATGACTGAGTTTGCTGTGCAAGCTGGAGGGCCTGCATGACTGAGTTTGCTGTGCAAGCTGGAGGGCCTGCATGACTGAGTTTGCTGTGCAAGCTGGAGGGCCTGCATGACTGAGTCTGCTGTGCAAGCTGGAGGGCCTGCATGACTGAGTTTGCTGTGCAGGCTACAGTTAGGCAGTTGAAAAAGGTTTACTTTTAAAATAGGGAAATACCTTAGTTACCTTAGTTAGCTTAGCTCAGACACTGGATGACCAAGGGGGGTAGTGTAGGTCCTGGGTGTGGCAGCTGGGGGTTAGCAGAAGGGAGGAGTTGCTAGTGGGTACTTGACAGCGAGGAAGATACTTGCCTGCCCGCCCCTCCCTTTACCTTTTGTGTTTTTTTGCACGGGTTTGCTCTTTTGTTGCCTTTCCTCGGGAAAGGGGGGGGGGGCAGTTGGTGATGCAGGGTGTTTGTTTGGGGGATTTTTTTGCCAGGGTTTTGTTTTTGACTCTGTCATAGCAGCAGACTGGGGTCCTAGGTTTTTGAAGGTGGACATGGTAAAAAAAATAGGTAGAATTTAATGGCTTGGGCCAATCTCGGTAAGGGTGTATCCTCCTGACCAACTGACATCAGGAAAGGGCAATGGGTTCCACCAGGGTGTAAAAGCTGGTAATGAATTGTCCCCAGTCAGTGTAACTGCGGCCTGGGGCCTGTCTTGATGGGTGTGATGGGTGTGTGGTGGGGGATTAAACCATAGAGCTCAGCAAGAGAAGCAGACATTCAGAAATCCTGGATGTGGTGTATACAGAAGACTTTTTGACAAGTTTCTTTCACTGAGGTTGATTACTAAAGGCAAATTAGACTTTGCACTTTGCAAGTGCAGTTGCTCCAGAGTTTAGAGTTTTTTGAGGGGAAGCTCTGCAAATTTTCATCATTCAATCATGTGCAAGCAAAAACGCTATTTTTTATTTTTCTTGCAGGTGATTGGGTATTATTTGCAAAGTGAAGCTTTACCACATTTACTCGGCTCTGGAGCAACTGAACTTCAGGAGTGCAACTGCACTTGCAAAGTGCACAGTCTATTTGCCTTTAGTAAAATCAACCCCTTTGAGTTTAGCAGCATTGACAATGAGATAGGTAAGTGTTAGATCTTTCTTTGCTTTCTGGGCTTTTTCACTATTATTTTTTATTTATGATAGAACTTTGGCTTTGCTATTTAGTGAATCACTGTGATATAATAGAACAAGTATATGGACTGAGAGATCTGACTTCACTGGATGCAGGTTTGCCCCAGTTCAGTGCCTTATCATGTAGGGAAATAATGGTAAGTATAATATCTCAGGAGCTTGGCAGAAGTCAGAAATGGCAGTTCCCACACTTATATCCTTACAAGTTCTCTTTAACCACCTCCCTCCCGCCATATAGTAATATGACGGATGCAAGTTGTTTCACTTGTTCTGGGAGGACGACATATCAGGGAGCGCGCAGCGGATCACCGATCATGGAAAGAGCCGAAGATGTCAGCTCGGTCATGTGATCAGCTGTGTCCAATCACAGCTGATCACATGTAAACAGGGAAATGCCGGTTATCGGCATTTCTCTCCTCTCGAGCTGTCACGCTGGCAGCTCGTGAGGAGAGGAGAGCCGGTAATCGGCTTTCCGCGGAGGGGACATGTACACTGATCATCAGAGCACTGATGATTAGTGTAGCCCCAGCAGTGAGACCTGTCAGTGTCCATCAGTGCCTTGTGTCAGTGCCCATCAGTGCCACATCAATGCCACATATCAGTGCCTACCAGTGCACATCAATGCCACATATCAGTGCCCATTTGAGCTGCCTTTCAGTGTCACCCATCAGTGCCACCTATCAATGCCAATCAGTGCCACCTATCAGTGCCAGTTCGTGCTGCCTATCAGTGCGCATCAGTGCCGCCTATCAGTGCCTGCCAGTGCCACCTAACAGTGCCAGTCAGTGCCGCCTAACAGTGCCAGTCAGTGCCGCCTAACAGTGCCATATATCAGTGCCATGTATCAGTGCTGCCTTTCAGTGCCCATCAGTGATGCCTGTCAATGCCCATCGGTGCCACCTACCAGTGCCTCCTCATCAGTGCAGCCTATCAGTGCCCATCACTGCAGCCTCATTAGCGCACATCAGTGAAGGAGAAAAATCACTTATTTACAAAATGTTATAACAAAAACTAATTTTCAGTGGTTTTTGGTTTGTTTAAGAAAAAATACAAAACCCAGAGTTGATTAAATACCACCAAAAGAAAGCTCTATCTGTCACGAACACAAATCATAAAAATGTCATATGGGTACAATGTTGCATGACCGCGCAATTGTCATTCAAAGTGCTGAAAGCTGAAAATTGGCCTGGGCAGGAAGGGGGTATAAGTGCCCTGTAGGTGAGTGGTTAAAGACCAAAGGTATACAGAAATATTGCACAAGGTGTGGAGTTCTAGAGCAGTAAGCATCAGCTTGCTGCTCAAGATGTTCAATATAAGTAATATCTTTCACTTGGACTGGAAGCCTACCTCAATTATGTACTGTTCTAATAAATGAATCCATTTAAACATACATTAATCATTTTTTTCCACATACATTAGTTAGTAATTTGGGTTTACTGGACCTTTAATGAATGCAAACATCATTAACTTATCTTCTATCAGTTACATAAAAGCCTGAACCTACTTAGGGGTATGGTTAAATGAAATGCATCACACAGACTAAAGTCAGTAGGACATCTTAAGGGACTGACCCACGCAATATGATGTCTGCAGTACCTGTCACTTCTCCTCTAATTATGTGTGTCTGTTATATTGACTTGCTAGTTATTCAAGTAATTAAAAATCATTTATGAGGTTCCAGTAATGGTGGTTGGGGTGAAAGGATACAGATGCTCATTATTCTGTATCAGTAATTGGTATAGGACTTGGATATAACCTAGCTATGATATATACAGTATGTTATTAATACAGTTCAGTAAAGTTTATCAGCAATGCACTCAGACACACACAGACAGACTCACTCAAGCCTCTGCCCTTAAGTAATGGTGACAGAAAGTGTGATGTAGGGAGTATAAACAAGATGGACATCTGTTTAGGTACGTAAGGCTGGCCATAGACAAGCAAACTTTAAAAAGATTAGATGACAATTTAAGGATTTTAAAATGCATGTGAATAGTACTGCAGAATTCAAACTACAAAAAACAGTTATTGATGACAGACAGAAATGGTGAATATTGCTTAAAATTATTTTCCAACGTTAGGAAAATCATTCCTTACAGATGATCACTTTTGAGTAACACTAACAGCATCACACAGAGCAATCACAGTCTAAAAGGTATCTGCTACTTTAAAAACAACTGAAAGAAAAGACCAATTACCATAAAATTGCACCAATTGCATAAAATGAATGCAAAATATACTTATATTGTTCTGACACTCTCATTTTGAAAAATAATTTGCATAAATATTTCTTATATTTTCAAAACACACTGGTCAGATATTTATCAAATCTTCAAAAGAATTGGCCTGTCTATGGCAAACCTAATATCCGTTTTTTCCACAATTAGCACACAACCTTCATATAAGGAGGGCACATTTGTGCTCCCCCCTACCTCTTTTCACCCTGAGTATTCTGGTTCTGTTGAGACCCATTGGTTTGTAGATCAGGAATATTGGCAAAGTCGTCCTGCTCGGAGAGGCCCAGCACCAAAGACAGCACCACCATGCGGCCTTCCCTGCCCATAGTCCAGGGGGGTGATAGATAGGAAGAGGAAAGAAAGAAGACAAAAGAATCAGAGAAGGAAGAGTAATTTATAAAGCAATAAGCAATCTAAGAAAGCAGATCATTTTCTTTATAGAAACAGAAGCATAAGAAACAAACAATTATGCGGGTAAGAAATGTGGCATGCAAAGGCAAAAAACATCAAATTACGATTGCACTAAATCAATTTTACATGTATTGTTATCTTTATTTTAGCAGATTCAGGAAAGAACAGTCAGCTTAGCTCAGACATTTTACATAGCAACCATTTGCCCTTCCCTGTCCCTTTGGAATTGTTGCAATTTTGTTCCGCTGAGATGAGCTCCAGAGGCAAACTGAACATCTCCCATCCAAACTGGCTGAATGGTGAAATTCTGCTGGAATGGCCTGGGACTAGGTAGATGGAGGTCTAAGCTGGTCTGCTAAGCCTGCCATGGCATGATCCCCATGTTGAACAGGAGCTAGGACATGCGATCCTCATTTCAATTAAGTTTTTTTTTTTCGTAAGTTTTAATATGATTGTATGGTAATAACACCTCTTTGCTTGACCATGTATATCAAAATTCTCTATTGTAAATTTGGGTCACTTTTGTTATTGCCCATTTAATTTGTTCCCATCCCTATGTGAATTCTTTACCTTTTTTCCTATTTCCTATCTCATTCTTCTTGACTAAATCTGATCATCAACATCAACCGGTGACTGGAAGTTTGAAAATAATTCCACCATGGAATAGTGTCCTGATAGACCAAAATTTACAAAGACATGCATACAGTACATGTTTCACCTGAGTGTACATTACTTTTTGCTCATGGGCAGCTCCAATGTCAACCTTCTTGAATGGGAACAATAGCTATAAGGTAAAAGTGATCATTGCCTGACAGTGGCAAAATGGTCATGAATGAGCAACAATCGCTTATTGTCAATGGCATGTTTAATTTCTGGTCCTTAGTACTGCCGCCCTTTCCCTTATCTTTTAATGTTTTGCTTCTGCTCTTACAGCTCCTTCCTCCTTTCTTATCATATGTGATATATATATCTGTATTCCTCTGTATCCTATGCTATTACCTTAACCTCTATTATTTTTTTCTACTTAGATTATTATGCCTTGCAAGCATATCCATTCTGCCATACATCCTCCCACCTCTCCAACACATCTAGTCATCTATACAGCCTTTCACCTTTTCATCCAGTGTTTTCTCTATCCAATACTAAACTCAATCTAATTACCTTTATGTGCAACGCCCCTCTCATATCTGTCCTTGTCTCTTGGTATAGAGTATAATCTGAGCTCTGTACCATTATGATTCCATCACAAATTTTACAGAATACATATAGTCCTTCTCCCAGCCTTGCACATAAAACATTGTATTAATCATGAATTATTTCTGGGCCATAAATGAAATACCTACTGACTACATAGAATATGACATTCACATTTTACTGCAGGGATTTGCAATAACATGAAAATGGTAATTCACTGGATGAAGGTTTGACCTACTTTTGCCTTGACTTTAACCATTTGTATTTCAGCTGGCAAGCATGTAGTAAAAACTGTGCCTAAAATCCAGTGGTGTCTAAGGAAAGGTTCTTTGATATGTAAGACACTATCTGAGTGGGGAGACCTAGAAACCTCCAGTAATAGAGGAAAATAGAATAAATAAAAGAAAACTGAGAAATGTGGTGCTGGACAAGCATGAATTGTGAGAACCACATCGGCTACAGGAGCACCAAACTGGCAGTCCCATTGACCTCTCCAGCTGGTGGAACGTTCTACAGGCCTTTATGGTGGGTGATTGAAGGCCAAAAAAAAATGCTTATTTCTGACCAGTTATGACAGACCACAGTATCTACATCTTCAGTCTACAGTAGTAGATACATTTTGGTTGGTCTCATCATAAGATAGGATAGGTAAGACCACCAGACCCTGATGTCTAGTTTTCAGGCCGTATATTCAAAACATAGGATGGACCTAGCCTGGGAATGGATTCTCAGGTACAGTTATATGTCTTAACATTACTGTATAAGTGACAATGGTGACAAAACCACACAAAGAATTTTAGAACTACCAAAAACTGCATTTTTAGCCTTCATCTAGTTCCTCAAGCCAGGTAAGAGTTACATAATTGTTCCCATTTTCCAACACACATTTTCCATCATATATTATTCCATGAAGTCAAGCTGACAACCAGAGGTAAAAAAGCATCCAAACAAAAGGATAAGACAAGTTCCTATCCTGGTAAATGCTGACCGTATAAATGGATTTTGACGGTCACAGGGCATGGGTTTATGTTCTGTCCTTCCTACTGACAACGTATGAGGCGCTGTTATTTTAATCTACTACAAGAAAGGATTAATTAACCTTATGATCAAACTGTGCAGAGCTTGAAATATGATTTCTCAGATTAGTCAGACATGCGGCACACTTGCTATAGAGCCTGCGAGACGTGTTGGAGCCACTCCTGAATTAACCCTTTTTGCATTCGGATGATGAAATAGGAGATGAGACAGTTCCTGAGTATAAGATAAAAACATGCAATGCTTATTGTTCCCCTGCCAGATGGAGCAGCATATAGTCAGCAGACTCTCTGAAAAGAAGTACCTATATACTGTATCTTCTGTAGCTATTTTAAAACAGTTGTATGACATAATTTTTATTTTTAGCTACTTGCAGCCTTAGAAATAACAATGAAAAGGGAACAATGCACTTGGAAAGTGTCAGACTTCTAAATCCAGGGAAAAAACATTCACTAGAGCATTCCCACATTCTGCAGTCTTTCTCAAGACTGAGGACTCCAAAGTTATAGGAATTAAAAACAACAAATATATTTACAATAAGTCTATAAAAGAAAATAACGCATTTATAGAGGTGAACAACCAAAAAGGTTCCACTCAGGTCAAAGCTGATTTAAGACATAAGTTAACTGGAAGAAATTATATTTGTAGATTTAGTCTTTATTATTGAAAAGTGTGTGGGAGCTTCTTGATTTGAATATTATCCTACTTGAAATGGGATGTCACTTGCCTTTTTAGTTCAACAATGACTTCTTTTTTTTTTTAGAACTTCAACTCCCAGTTTCCACTTCCAAAAGGTTAAAGGTGAATCCAATTTTAGTGGGTTAAGCACTCTTTGAACGTATGGATTACATTGTAAGTGTCATCTCTACTGAGGAGACTGCTGTGGGTTTGGGCTGATATCCAATTGACAACAGCTAACACATTGAGCCTGGGTTCACACTGATGTGGTGTGGAATTCGCACCAGTATCTGTGCAAATTCTGCACC